TTTTACCAAACAACTATTTTAGATAAAATGTTTTTTTTAATATAAAAAAAACTTTCGTTTTTATAAGATTTCAAATTTTAAAACATTTATATAAATATTAAGTGATATCTTAGGATGTTGGCACATTGATAAGAAATTTATATACGGACTTTCACATCACAAGTTCAAGTCTTGATGGCCCTTACACTAAAATTATTTTTTTTATTTATTAATTTTTCTTTTCTACTAAATAATTATTTCGAAAATCCCAATGACAGAAATTGGATCTTTCCAATATTCTCGAGGTGATAATTTGTTTTTCTAATGGTCTTTGCGCCACTCATGCTTGTTGGTTCATATTTTACGATAAAATATGAACCAATAAATTTGGGACATTTAAAATCAAACACAAAAGTATTTTTCTTTTTGGAGCAAAGTATAATAGGATAATTTTTTACAAAATATGGTACCGTTTTCGAACGGGTGTTGTAGGGTGCTAACACCTTCCCTACGCTCAACCGACTCCCGAACCAAAATCTGTTTTTCGTAGACCAAGTTTTTAAAATAGGTGACCAATCACACCTCGTAGATGATTGGTGGCGACTCCAAACCCTAATCTCGAAAGAGACCCTTCAGGAGATGATGTCGGCCGCTCCGCGTCGTGATGACGTTGCGACACAACTAATATATTCCATAATTAAAAATAACAAAAAATCTCACTAATTAGAGTAAATGAAACCTTTTAAAATGTTCGTTTTTATTTAGTGGTAAGTGGCCTGCTCCCCTTCTCCTCTCCGTGAAGATTGTGAAGGGTGTCCGTTGTCTCTCAATCCTCTAGCTGGGTTTTTTTCAAAGAGTGTTCATCCTACTTTCCTGCTGGTTTCTATGATGGTGGACGGTGGTCGGGTGTCGAAGATCTCCCCATTGGATGTTGATAGTGTTGTTACAGTTGACAAAATCAAAGGCAATGTTGTTATGTATGTTCAAGTCGTTTTGAACCTATGATTTCTTGAGATGATTCTTCATCTTCATTGCATCCTAGTTTAGAGAATTTCCATAGTCTAGAGGCAAGAACAACAAGCGGCGATCGGCTCGAACACCATTTCGGAATCTGAGAGGCTATCAATCTTAATTGTATTGAGATCCGTGACCAGCATGATTTGAAAATTTTGTCTAATCTTTCCTTACTTGTCATGGTGGAAACTAAGGCAAATTTGGAGGCAATTATTCTCTTCCAATTCTAAATATGTCATAATTGACGAGAGATTGACAAGATCTCTCGATTAATTGAAGAGTCTTCCCAACATCATTGAATGAGGTTGAGGATGTTGTATCTTTGGAGAAGATTTTTAGTGGGCTAAAATTTGTTCATGTTCCTAGTTCTTTGAACATACAAGATGTTTTACTGGCCAATGTGTCATTTCTCTTATCGTTTCTCTGTCTTTTAGGATAATTGTTTTTCTTTCTGGATTCTGATTGTGGTGCCTGGTCACCACTGTTCTAATGTAACAATTAGTGGTCATATTTCTTTTTAATGCAGTGTTTTTTAATAAAAAAAAATGTACATTTTTATTCATGTACTTTTAACTTTGTTTTGTTCTAATGTTTATACTTTCAAAATGTTTGTTTTGATCATCACTTAAAAAGTAATTATTTTGGTTTCTATTTGCAAAATTTAAATACAAACTTTACATAGAATGAAAACGGTTTAATATAAATTCATTGTTACATTTTAAAAAATATATTGAATGTATTGTCGGGATGAAATTGTAATAGAAAAATGAGATTAA